TAAAACTGATATTGTACTATGCTAATAATATATTGTATGTATATATACCTTGTAAGCTGCTCTGAGTCCCCTTCGGCATGAGAAGGGCGGCATATAAATGTCGCAAATAAATAAATAAATAAATAATAAAAACCCCAGTGTGAAGGCTGTAATGTATAAAGCTACAGTGTGAGGCTCCACTGTGAAGACCGAACATTGTGTTATGGAAACCTTGTTTTTATAAATAGTGCAACCATATTATTTTGCTATAAAGAAAACCCTCCTATGGAAGAGAAAACATTGGTCTGTGTGTTTTTGTTCCTTTTTGTCACTTTTGGCCACTGGTGCTGGGTCACACTGTAATAAGTTACTCTCCTGTACATTTATGAGGAGGGTCTTTTGTTAATAAGCCCACTTGCCCAACAAAAGACTCTAAAGACTCCCAGTATCAAAGCGTGACTAGAGGACAACTACAACCTTCTGGTGACAATCAGAAATGGAAAGGAAGGAGGGACGGGTGTAGAACACAGAAGTCTACAAACAAAGAGAACTGGACATACAGGCTGGGAATTATGGTTAATATTCCTTCCGTTTGGTGCTTGGGGAGACTAGCTGTTGCTCTTGGATCCTTTATCAAGCATACCCTCCCCTTCTGGCGACTTTCAGACATGTCAGAAAACAGCTCCCCCATTTTCTTAACAATTATCCACCAACTAGTAAAGCTGAAGGAAAGAGGAGCATGGAGGTCAAACCTCACAATAGGACACCCAGGCCCCCTTTCATCCCTAAGACCCCTTCACTCCATCATCAGACCTCCCTCCCAAAAGCAGACAATTGTACTTACAGAATACTGTTGAGTTGCTGGAAGTGCTCCACAGCTGTTACGCACCAGCAGCGCTCCCTCTGACACCCGCACCCGGCGCACTGGCTTCCTTTTCTGGCAGGCTCTCCCAAGACCTCCTCCTCCTCCTCACTTTCTGCCTGGTGGTCCTCACTCATGCCGCTCTCTCCCTCGGACACCCTGGGCTCCTGGCTCCTCTTCCGCCACATGTAAATCTTGAAGCTGCGGCCATAGAACTGCCGGACCATTTCCCCGAAGCTATGAGGGGTGCTGAAGAAGAGGACGGCCCGAAGCAGGCTGTGTACCTTGGCCCTGAGCGGCTGGGCGCCCGTCCCGAGGAGCAAGCCCTCCTGTGTCCAGCCCTCCATCAGGGTCAGGCTGCGCAGGTAGGGTTCCAGCCGGCGCCAGAGGAGGGAGAAAGCATCCAGGATCAGGAGGGAGCACTGCGCCTCTTCGGCTGTGTTCTCGTGCTGGGACACGCCGCTCCAAAACTCGGGGGAGATGCGCGCCTGCAGGTCCATCTGCAGCACCTCCAGGAACCACTCCTCCAGTGCTGAATGCAGGCCATGGGCCTTCAGCACCTCTACCGCTGCGTGAAGGTCCCGCTCCGAAGGGATATCTGCCGGCTCCGACTCTGGCACCAGCGCCTGGGAAACCACAAGAGGCAGACTTAATGGAGAAAGCTTTGAAGACTGATCCAGAGGTGCAAGGCATGAGGCGTCCCTTGCTATCTCTTTTAGCCATTCTATGTTGTTGTAGGTTTTAAAGGGTCATTTGTATTGTTTATAGCATTTTGAGTCACTTTGAGGCCCCTTTCATTCATACAGCTGAATAAAATCCCATATTATCTGCTTTGAACTGGGATATACGTCAGTGTGGATTCTGATGTTCCAGCTCAAATCATATATGTCATCAGTTGGGGACCCCTCCCCCAGCACTAACTTCCGCTCTGGACCAGAGTGAAGAGAGATGGGACCAGGGGACAGTTCCATCTTGCCTCCTGCCTATGTCATCAGTTGGGGATCCCTCCCCACAGCAACAACTGCTGCACTGGGCCAGAGTGAAGAGAGAGGGTGCCAGGGGACAGTTCCATTTTGTCTCCTGCCTATGTCATCAGTTAGAGACCCCTCCCCCCAGCACCAACTGCCGTTCTGGGCCATAGTGAAGAGAGAAGGGACCAGGGGACAGTTCCATCTTGTCTCCTGCATATGTCATCAGTTGGGGACCCCTCCCCCCCAGCAACAACTGCTGCTCTGGGCCATAGTGAAGGGGGGGGCACGGGACAGTTCCACCTTGTCTCTTGTGCTATGCTAATTATATAAAATAGTATAATATAATATATTGTATATACATATAATATTTATATTATAATGTAATGCAATATAATACTAATATATAATATCATATATATATATATTTATATTATATGTAATATTACTAATATAATACTAATAATAACAACCTGATATTATAATTACATATTTATATTACATGTAAACAGACAGGCGCCCTCCCTCATGTCCTTTCGAAAAAGCCTTAAGACCTGGCTGTTCGAGAGGGCATTTAATTAAGTGCTAAGCAACAAACAATACGGTAACGAGATCCGGAATGGTATAAGGAAGATGAGACTGGCTATGATTCCACTAAGAGACGAAGCGGATTTGTGTGTAGTCTGTAATTGTTGTATAGTTATATGTTGTTGATACTGGCCTTTTGTAATTGTCTTTTATGTGTACTGTACACCGCCATGAGTCGCCCGTATGGGCTGAGAATGGCGGTTAATAAGTGCAGCAAATAAATAAATAAATAAATAAATAATGGTATAGTACAATATAGTAATATTTAATACTGATATTATACTATGCTAATAATATAATATATTGTATGTAACTTGTAAGTTGCTCTGAGTCCCCTTCGGGATGAGAAGGACAGCATATTAATGCCATAAATAAATAAATATATTGGCGAAGGCTTTCATGGCCGGAATCACTGGGTTGTTGTAGGTTTTTTCGGGCTATATGGCCATGTTCTAGAGCAGTGGTTCTCAACTTGGGGTCCCCAGATATTTTTGGACTTCAACTTCCAGAAATCCTAAGAGCTGGTAAATTGGCTGGGATTTCTGGGAGTTGGAGGCCAAAACACCTGGGGACCCACAGGTTGAGAAACACTGTTCTAGAGGCATTTTCTCCTGATGTTTCGCCTGCATCTATGGCAAGCATCCTCAGAGGTAGTGAGGTCTGTTGGAAGTAGGAAAATGGGTTTATATATCTGTGGAAAGACCAGGTTGGGACAAAGGACTTTTGTCTGCTGGAGCTAGGTGTGAATGTTTCAACTGTGAATGTTTCAACTCAAAAATTACAACAGCAAAATAACAGAGTAAACAATCAGGCACATCAAATCATCTCTCAAAGAACGATTCCCCCAGGCACTTCCAAGCCATTAAATGCTAATCAAGGTGGTCAGCTGAAACATTCACACATTGGGTTGTTAGATGTATTGTGTCCAAGTTTGATGTCAGTTCCCCCAGTGGTTTTTGAGTTCTGTTAATCCCACAAACGAACATGACATTTTTATTTATAGATTGTAGCTAGATATTGTTATATCATATATAATAACTACAATACAATGTATTATATACTACACAATAATATATATCATAATATATTCCATACTATAGAACAGGCATGGGCAAACTTGGGCCCTCCAGGTGTTTTGGACTCCAACTCCCACAATTCCTAACAGCCTCAGGCCCCTTCCTTTTCACCCCCAGCCGCTTAAGCGGAAAAGGAGATGAAACAACTAGCAGCCAGATGTTGGGAATTGTGGGAGTTGGAGTCCAAAACACCTGGAGGGCCCAAGTTTGCCCATGCCTGCCCGACCCTTCACGTGTCACCTGAGGCCAGTCCACACGTGACCCCCGCTCCCCCCGTGGCTGCTCGTACCAGGCCCAGGGCGGCGGGCGGGACCAGGCCCGTGCTGAGGGCGCGCCAGGCGGCGGGAAAGGCCATCCCGGCGGAGGCGGAGGAGGCGGGCTCCGTTCTGAGGCTGCGGCCGTTGAGCGGGGAAGAGGAGGCGGAGCTCTCCGCGGCGGGAGGGAGGAAGGAAGGAAGGCGAGCCCGCGGAGACGGAGGATGACCCAGCAAGGGGCCGCCCTGCAGAGCTACAACAACGAGCTGGTCAAATGTGCGTCGCTCAGGCTTCGGCCGGAAGTGTAGGCCTCGCGTTGCTATGGAGACGCGGCCTACTGTGGCCGGCGTCGCAGAGAGACCTTTGGGGCCTTTTCGGGTCGGGGCTCGGAGCCGGGAAGCGGGGACACGTGGGGAGAAAAGGGAAGGAGAGGGGTTTGGGGAGCCTCCGCACTATTAAGGGGTGAAATCGCTTCAACTGTGGCGTCCCTTCTCCCGCGTGGGCTCCTGGGAAATGTAGTTTGGGGCCTAGAACAGCGCGAACACCCGCCCCGTATTTGGTTATCCGGTGACGTCATGACCCCGCCTTCCTTTCGCCTCCAATAGGGATTCGAGGCGGGTGACACAACACAGGGCAAAGGCAGATAGATAGCCTCAGAGATATATTTCATTAGATAGATAGATTAAATTGATTGATAGATGGATTAGATAGATAGATAGATAGATAGATAGATAGATAGATAGATAGATAGATAGAGAGTGATAGAGTGATAGATTGATAAATTAGATTGATAGATTAGAGAAACAGATTGGCTAAATTAGATTTGATTGATCAATCGATAGATAGAATGATAGGTAGATAGATAGATCAAATAGATATATAGATTACAGAGATAGATTACATAAATTAGACAGATTAGTTTAATCAATAGATGGATTAAATAGATAGAATGATAGGTAGGTAGGTAGACAGATATATTAGTTTGATAGATTGGATATCGATCAGAGAGACAGATTAGATAAATTAGATTAGATTGATTGATTGATTAGATAGAATGATCAATAGATTAGATTGATAGATCAGATAGGGAGATAGCTTAGATACATTAGACAGATTAGATTGATTGATGGATTAGATGGATATATTAGATTGATAGATTAGATAGCTAGATCAGATAGATAGACACATTAGATAAATTAGACAGATTAGTGTCATAGATAGATAGATAGATAGATAGATAGATAGATAGATAGATAGAATGATAGGTAGGTAGGTAGATTAGATTGAGAGATTGGATAGATAGAGCAGGTAGATAGACCAGAAGGATAGAGAGATAGCTTAGATAAATTAGATGGGTAGATAGAATAATAGATAGATTAGATTGATATATTAGATAGTGAGATCGGATAGATAGACAGATTAGATAAATTAGACAGATTAGTGTCATTGATAGATGGATTAGATAGCTAGAATGATAGGTAGGTAGGTAGGCAGATAGAGTAGATTGATAAATTGGATAGATAGATCAGATAGACCAGAAAGATAGAGCGATAAATTAGATGGATAGATAGAATAATAGATAGATTAGACTGATAGATTAGATAGATCAGATAGAGAGATAGATTAGATAAATTAGACAGATGGGTTGATTGATTGATTAGTTGGATTGATAGATGGATTAGCTAGAGGAGATGATTAGATAGATGAGATTGATTTATTAGATAGATGAATTGATAGATACATAGATGATAGGTTGATTGATTAGATATATAATAACAATAATAATAATCTTTATTTATATCCCACCCCATCTCCCCAAAAGAATTCGGGTTATCTTACAGCATAAATAAATACAATGAGTAATATATACAAAATAAATAACAAATCAGCAAAAAAGGGAAAACAAAAAAAATAGACAAATTAAACAATAAACCGTAAAAAAATAAATTAAAACACAGTGGTTCCAATAAGTTAAATACAAGCCAAAATATCCTAATCAGCATATATCCATAGAACACTAAAACAAAGACCTCGTCCACTTTATTTATTTTTTACGACATTTATATGCCGCCCTTCTCACCCAGAAGGGGACTCAGAGCGGCTTACAAGATATATATACATACAATATATTATATTATTAGCATAGTACAATATCAGTATTATATATTACTATATTGTACTATACCATTATATTGCAATATTATTAGTAATATTACATGTAAAATAAAACATAATTTTAATATTGTATTATTATTAGTAGTATTATATTGTATTACATTGTAATATTATAAATATTATATGTATATACTATTATATTATATTATATTATTAGTATAGCCTGGAGACAAGGTGGAACTGCCTTCCTGCCCCCCCCCCCCTTCACTGGCCCAGAGCAGCAGTTAATTAAAAGGTATTAACCTAATCTTTTTCAAAGTCCTTCTTTCAAAGTCCTCCGAACGTATTCTCCCCTACGAACCATCAAGATTACTAAGATCGTCTGGAGGGGCCCTGCTCTCGGCTCCACCGGCCTCACAAGCGCGGCTGGTGGGAACGAGGGACAGGGCCTTCTCGGTAGTGGCCCCGCGACTCTGGAACTCTCTCCCGCCAGAGGTTAGAACCGCCCCAACAATCCTGACATTCAGGAAACAGGTGAAGTCGTGGTTATGGAGACAGGCTTTCGAAGAATGAGACAATGATCTGGATGGAAGACGGTGTATATTCGATTTTAGTATGACGACTGACCACTGTAGTTTTAAATATATGTGCTTTTTTAATGTTTTATTGTAATGTGTATTTTGATTTTTACCGATTGTATGTGTTTTTATGGTTGGAAACCGGGCTGAGTCCCTCTTATGAGGTGAGAAGCTCGGTATATAAAACTTTGAAATAAATAAATAATAAATAATTCTTAAAAGTCGTGAGAGTGGCTGCTTGTCTGATCTCCTTGGGGAGAGCACTCCAGAGCCGGAGCGGGGCTCTGTTGAGAGGGCCTTTTCCCTCGTTCCCACCAACCTCACTTGCGATGGGGATGGGATCGAGAGGAGGCCCCCTCCAGCTGATCTTAAAGCCCAAACGGGTTCATAAAGGGTGGGTGCGGACATGTAAATAATGACAACCCAAACCGAAAATTGAGAAACAATTACACGCAAAATATGAAAATTAGAGGAACCAAAGGGTGGGGGGACAGCTTGGAAAGGCACGTCCATGCAGTGTGGACACAACCTTCTTTTGAAGCATCACCTATGGCAGCAGGAAGGATTCACTGTCGGTTTCCCATCCAAGTCCAACCATGGTGGACCCTGCTTAGCTCCCAAGAGCAATGGGATCTGGTGCCTTTGGGTGTATTTCAGGGCCTTGGCCTTCTCCAAGTGGCCCCTGATTGAGACAAAGGGGCTGGAGGCCCTTAAATGGGCCCATTGGCCATAGTTTGGAGACCCCTGACCTATGCTTTTGCCCTTTCCTTCCAGGCATCGAGGACCTGTGCCTGAAGCGGGAGGAGCTGTCCAAGCAGATCCGTCAGGAGGAGGAGGAGAAGGGCAGGCTCCAGGGCGAGATCCGCACCCTGACCGAGCGCCTGGCCCGCGTCAACGAGAACCTGGCCCGCAAGATGGCCTCCCGCAACGAGTTCGATAAGACCATCGCCGAGACTGAAGCCGCCTACATGAAGGTGCGTGGAATGAGGGGGATGGGGGCTTCTGCTAGGGATCTACACTGCTATATAATCCAGTTTCTGAATTCAGATTATCTAGTTTGAGCTGGGTTATATGAAGCTGTACTATTGGAAATAGCAACCTATCTATCATCTATCTATCTATCTATCTATCTATCTGATATATCTTATCTATCCATCTAATAAACCAATCTCATCTATCTAATTATCAATCTATCTAATCCATCTATCAATCAAATTGTCTAATTTATCTAATCTATCTCTATCTGATCAATCTATCTGATCTATCTATCTATCTATCTATCTTATCTATCATTCTATCCATCTATCAATCAATCTAATATGTCTAATTTATTAATTTATGTATATAATTGCTTATTGCATTGTGTATTGGTTTGCAGTTTTCTTTAACTCTTTGTTGTGGGAGGGGCTGCAGACTAAGACTCCATTTTAGATGTTTGTCTAGCCGCAGCCCAAAGGAACAGACATAAAAATGCAATCCTTTCCTGCTTCCCAGATCCTGGAAAGTTCCCAGACGCTGCTCAGTGTCCTGCGGAAGGAGGCGGGGAACCTCAGCCGCGCCACGGGAGCCACGGAATCCAAACCCCCCGCAGCGAAGGACAACTGAAGGGTTGGTCTCCAATCCCTCTGACTCTGGGCTCTTCTCGGGGAGGCGTTTCATAGGCAATGTATAATAAAGAGGATTTTGTTTTCCAAAGGCTCCTGTACTTTGTTGGACAGGAAACACCGAATTGAGACCAAAGTGTTTGGGGTCTTCACGAATGGCAGGAAACACTTGGGTTTGGCTTGAGGCGAAGAAAGCCGTTTCCATGAAATCCCAGAGTGGAGCAGAGCACGATTTTAGGGGGCCCTGCCTGAGCAGAGGCCGGCGAAGACCCAAAAGGAGGGCCCGATAAGCCTGGCGAGACAATAAGCACCAATCATAGTTTCCCTATTTCCAAATAAATCTCACCAGGATGAAGAAGGCCACCAAAGTTTATTTTCTATTCCAGCTGGAAAGGATGACGGCCGCAGTAACCTGCCAAGGAGCCGACATGACTCCTGGGCAGGCAAATACATAATATATAGAGCTTTAAACAATGAAAGAATAATATTATTATGAATGGCCCTTCCCGGACCTTATTTGACAAACGATCAAAGCGATTGCTGTTAAACCCTCAAGTTTGACCTAGCTATTGATAACAGAAGTCTGAAACAACATTTTTGTCTGGCCCTCATAGGACCACCCCATGGTCAAAAAGTTTGGTGATATTGGCTTATATGATAAGATCTTGGATTCTTTTCTGGGACGGGGAATGGCTTTGTGGGGAGAAGCGGTGACATCCCCTTCCCCTTGCAGTGTCTCCACCATCGACATCCCAGTGTCTCTCTACATTGGTGTGGAATTTGCATGACCCAACTGCCTCTCCTTTAACCCTTTCCTATTCTTTTCTATGGCACACAAAAAACAGATGAATTGATCAGCAACTGAACAGACTAGAGAGGTTTTGGGAGAATTTGCCATGATTTATAGTTGTAAGTACTGGAATGTATAGTTCAACTGTAATCTAAGAGCTTTCTGAACTCCACGAATGATGGACCTGGAACTAACTTGGCATACAGAGCCTCCATGACCAACAAAAAATACTGGAAGTCTTTGGGGTAATTCACCTTGATTTGGGGGAGTCGTAGTTCACCTACATCTAGAGAGCTCTGTGAACCCAAACACCAATTGGTCTGGGCCAAACTTGGCACACAGACCTGATATGCCAAATTTTGATTACTGAAGGGGTTTGGGGGGAACTGACATTAATTTCTGGGAGTTGTAGTTCACCTACATCCAGAGAGCACTGTGAACCTGAACAAGGATAGATATGGAACAAACTTGGCATGCAAACCCAATATACCCACATTTGAATACTGGTGGGTTTTGAGGGTGATTGGTCCAGACATTTTGGAGTTGTAGGTACTGGGATTTATAGTTCACCTGCAAACAATGAGCACTGTGAACTCCACCCAAGATGGAAATGGATCAAACTTGGCGCACAGAGCCCCCATGACCAGCAAAAAAATACTGAAGGTCTTTGGTGTAATTCACCTTGATTTGGGGGAGTTGTAGTTCACCTACATCTAGAGAGCACTGTGAACCCAAACACCGATGGGTCTGGACCAAACTTGGCACACAGACCTGATATGCCGAATATTGATTACTGGAGGGGTTGGGGGGGAACTGACATTAATTTCTGGGAGTTGTAGTTCACCTACAACCAGGGAAACTCTGACTCCCACAGATGATGGACCTGGATCAAACTTGGCACACAGAACCCCCATGACTAACTCAACCTACTGGAGGGGTTTGAGGGGACTGACTCACCATGGTGGGAGTTGTAGTTCACCCTACAGCCAGAGAGCACACAGAACCCCATCAATGATGCATCTAGAGCAAACTTGCCCAACACAACAAACTGTAAGTACTGATGGAGTTTTTCGGGGTTAACCTGGCATGATGGGAGTTGTAGTTCACCCACAACCTTATGCATTGTGTAGAATTACAAAATTTAGTTTTTCAAATAACCTGGGCAATGCCGGGGACCCAAGCTAGTGTTATAGTAAATAATGGTTAAACTATGCAGTTAATAAGGTACCGCAACAAACTACAAAACTAAATGAGAAGCAAATTCACAAAGAAAACACATACTTACAAAGACATACACAAACTACACCAACAAACAGGCATGGGTCCAGTTCTAAGAACCTCACATTCACAAACTGTTGAGTGAAATGCTTTACACACTGCAGGAATTTCTAAGGTTTCTCTCAGTGTGGGTTCTATGATGATAGTATAGACTTCCATACCGAGCAAAACTCTTTCCGCACTCCAGGCACCTATAGGGTTTCTCCCCGGTGTGAGTCCTATGATGGGCATGTAGGTGTGCACTTAGAGTGAAGTTCTTTCCACATTCCATGCACTTATAGGGTTTCTCCCCAGTGTGGGTCCTCTGATGTCTCTGTAGGGTTCCACTGCTACTGAAGTTCTTTCCACACTTCAGGCATATGTAGGGTTTCTCCCCAGTGTGAGTTTTTTGGTGTGAATATAGATTTGAACTCCCAGCAAAGGTCTTTCCACATTCTGGGCATTTATAGGGTTTCTCTCCAGTGTGGGTTCTTTGGTGTGAATGTAGACTGCTGCTATGAAGGAAGCTCTTTCCACACTCCAGGCACTGATAGGGTTTCTCGCCAGTGTGAATCCTTTGATGTGAATGTAGATTATGACTCAGAGTGAAGCTCTTCCCACACTCTGTGCATTTATAGGGTTTCTCTTCTGTGTGGGTTCTATTATGAGACTGTAGATTTCCACTCCGAGCGAAGCTCTTTCCACACTCCAGGCATTTATAGGGTTTCTCCCCAGTGTGAGTTCGTTGATGCGACTGTAGTTGTACTCTCTGAGTGAAGCTCTTTCCACACTCCGTGCATTGATAAGGTTTCTCCCCAGTGTGGGTTCTATGATGTGAATGGAGATGTCCACTCTCAGTGAAGCTCTTTCCACACTCCAGACATTTAAAAGGTTTCTTCCCACTGTGAGTCCTTTCATGCGAACGCAGACTTCTTTGCCGAGCAAAGCTCTTCCCGCACTCCAGACATGTATAAGGTTTCTCCACGGTGTGAGTGATTTGATGTGAATGTAGTTGTACTTTCTGAGCAAAGCTCTTTCCACACTCGGTACATTTATAGGGCTTCTCCCCAGTGTGGGTCCTTTGGTGTGAATGCAGATTTCCACTCTGAGTGAAGCTCTTCCCACATTCTAGGCATGTATAGGGTTTCTCCCCAGTGTGAGTTTTCCAATGTGAATATAGATGGGAACTCCCAGCAAAGTTCCTTCCACACTCCATGCATTTATAGGGTTTCTCCCCAGTGTGTGTCCTTTGATGTAAATGTAGATTATGACTCAGAGTGAAGCTCTTCCCACACTCTAGGCATGTGTAGGGTTTTTCCCCAGTGTGAGTACTCTGATGTCTATGTAGGTGTGCGCTCTGAGTGAAGCTCTTCCCACACTCCATGCATTTATAGGGTTTCTCCCCAGTGTGAATCCTTTGATGTGAATATAGATTATGACGTAGAGTGACGCTCTTCCCACACTCTAGGCATGTGTAGGGTTTCTTCCCAGTGTGAGTCTTATGATGTGAATGCAGATATCCAGTGTTAGTAAAGCTCTTTCCACCTTCAATGCACTCATATGCTTTCTCGTCCATGGCCAACAGTAATATTTACATTTATCTACAATATGGACACTTGACTCTTCTTGTTTCCTGAGGTTAAGAGTTTCACAAAACCAGTTCTTTGAGTGGATTTCCTCTTCCTACATAGTTGGGTTTTTTTTGCTTCCAAATTCCTCGATATCCACTACATCATGTTTCTCATTATGTCACCAGAGAATCCTCATTTCCCTGGTTAAGAAAGAAGTAAAAAATCAGACACGAAGGCTAAACACATAGGTCATGTTGAAAATGGAAAAACCAAGAAATGTAGGCGCAAAGGTCTCAAGTGAATACACAGAAGCCAGCAAAGACAATCACAGATTCATAAACTGAGTTGGGGGGGGGGGGGCATCCAGCAAGACACATCTGGATGGCTCTTTGTCAGGAGGGCTTTGATTACATTTTCTCGCTCTGGTGAAGGGAGTTGGACTGGGTGGCCTTAAGTATTTTCTGTTGGTCATGGGGGTTCTGTGTGAGGAAGTTTGCCCCATTTCTCTCGTTCGTGGGGTTCAGCATGCTCTTTGATTGTAGGTGAACTATAAGTCCCAGTATCTACAACCCCCAAATTCCATCTGTGTTCATATTTGGGCATATGGAATATTCGTGCCAAGTTTGGTCCAGATCCATCATTGTTTGAGTCCACAGTGCTCTCTGGATGTAGGTGAACTACAACTCCCAAACTCAAGGTCAATGCCCATCAATGCCCATATTGGTCATGGGAGTCCTGTGTGCCATGTTTGGTTCAATTCCATCATTGGTGGGGCTCAGAGTGCTCTTTGATTGTAGGTGAACTGTAAAACCCAGCAACTACAACTCCCAAATAACAAAATCTGTGTTTTTTGAGTGATGGTCACTCTTTGGGGTAGTAGGTGCATTGTGTTCAAATTTGGTGGCAATTTGTACAGTGGTTTTTGAGTTGTGTTAATCCCACATAAGAACATTACATTTTTATTTATATAGACTAACCGTCCCTTGCCATGTGTTGCTGTCACCCGGTCTGTGTATATGTGTTTTGTGTGTGTATATATGTGTGCATATATTTGTGTATATGTGTATATATGTGGTTTTGCATATATACACATATACTCTCTTTCCTTCCTTTTCTTCCTCTTTCCTTCCTCCCCCCTCTTCTTTCCCTTCCTCTTTCTCCCCTTTCTTCCTTCTCTACCTATTCTTGGACTGCAACTCCCAGCAGTCCTCCTGATTGATTTACCTACCTACCTATCTATCTCTATCTAATCTATCTCTCTTATTGTTCTGGACGATTACTGGGAGTTGCAGTCCAGGAATAGGAATTTGGAAATGTGCACGGATTGGGATGCTCTCAAAGAAATCCTGCAACTTGGAAGTAGTGCATTTGGGTCATCCTCCTCTCCTAATGGGCCTGGTCTAGGCGATGCTGGGAGCTGTAGTCTGGCCAGGGGGAATCATTTCTGCGCCTGCGCTATAGTGCCTTTTTGCTTTTTTGCCTTTTTAAGTCCTTTCCACTGTGTTTTTCAGTGTTTTGATGAGTGATGGTCACTCACTGGCCTGAAAGGTGTCTTGGGTCCAAATTTGGTGTCAATTAGCCCAGTGGTTTTTGAGTTATGTTAATCCCACTAACGAACATTACATTTTTATTTATATAGACTAGCCGTCCCCTGCCATGCGTTTCTGTGGCCCACGCATTGCTGTGTGGGAGGTTTGGCCCAATTCTATCATTAGTGGGGTTCAGAATGCTCTGTGATTTTAGGTGAACTATAAATCCCAGCAACTACAACTCCAAAATGTCAAGATTCTATTTTCCCCAAACTCCACTAGTGTTCACATTTGGGCATATTGAGTCTTTGTGTAGAGTTTGTTCCAGATCCATCATTGTTTGAGTCCACAGTGATCTCTGGATGTAGGTGAACTACAACTCCAAAACCAAAAGAGTTGGCCCATCAAACCCTTCCAGTATTTTTTGTTGGTCATGGGAGAACTGTGTGCCAAGTTTGGTTCAAGTCCATCGTTGGTGGGGTCCAAAATGCTCTTTGATTGTAGGTGAACTATAAATCCTAGCAACTACAACTCCCAAATGACAAAATCAATTTTTTTGAGTGAACATACATTGGGTTGTTAAGTGTCTTGTGTCCAAATTTGGTGTCAATTCGCCTAGTGGTTTTTGAGTTCTGTTAATCCCACAAACGAACATTACATTTTTATTTATATAGATAATAATAATTATTAATCTTATGTCCATTGTAACCCTGAGGACAAGTTACAATTTTGTAAGCCTAGGAGTCCTAGTGAAGCACAAGCTGAACACGAGCCAACAATGTGATGCGGCAGCTAAAACAGCCAATGCGATCCTAGGCTGCATCCAAAGAAGTCCTAGTTCTGCTCTCTGCTGCTTTGGTCAGACCTCAATTGGAAAAATAGCCGAGTCCCTGCTGAGGGTGAGAGTTGTGTGGCAGTAGAGGGTCTCGTGGGGTTCCCTTCTTTCTCTGGAGGTCTTTAAACAGTGGCTGGGTGGCCATCTGGCAGGAGGGATTGGATGGTGCCTTTCTGTGTTCGAGAAGACGGGTGGGTGATGACACTAGGAATCTAATGTTAGTGTTGAGACGCTGAGGACTTGTGTTTTATGGTTTTAATTGTTTTATTGATTTATTATATGGTTTATATCATATGTAATTTTTTTTCCCTGTATTTATGTTGTTTGGGGGCATTGACTGCCGACTGTAAACTGCCTCGTTGCCTCCGGGTTGAGAGGGGCGGTATATAAATATGGTAAATAAATAAATAATATATATATATTTATTGGGTCAATATATTTATATTTATGGAGCCCTCAGTGGTGCAGCAGATTAAACGGCTGAGCTGCTGAACTTGCTGACCGAAAGGTTGACAGTACAAATCCGGAGAGCGGGGTGAGTTCCTGCTGTTAGCCCCAGTTTCTAGCAGTTCGAAAACATGCAAATATGAGTGGCATGAGCTTCCGCTGTCAGCCCCAGCTTCTGGCAATCTAGCAGTTCGAAAACATGCATATATGAGTGGCGTGAGCTTCCGCCATCAGCCCCAGCTTCTGCCAACCTAGCAGTTTGAAAATATGCAAATGTGAGTAGATCAATAGGTACCGCTTCTGTGGGAAGGTAACAGTGCTCCATGCCGTCATGCTGGCCACATAGCCTTGGAGGTGTCTATGGACAACGCCGGCTCTTTGGCTTAGAAATGGAGATGAGCACCAACCCCCAGAGTCGGACACAACTGGACTTCATGTCAAGGGAAAACCTTTACCTTTACCTATGGCCATGTTGCATCTCCTTCATTTGCTTCAGCTGCCAAAGAGGCATATTATACATACATACATATATATATGTATGTATGTACGTATGTATGTTATATGCCTCTATATATCTATCTATTTTCCAGAATGGCTCCCACAGCCAGAGAGCACTGTGAATCCCACTAAAAAAGGGGGGGGGGGGATTCCAGACAGAAAACAATCAGAGCCAGCTAACACCTTCCAACAAAGGATCCCCCGGCAGCAACCAGCCAGACTTTGAAGCTGCAAGGCCATTCAATGCTAATCAAGCTTGCCAATTGCAATATCCACGCTTGCCTCACACTGTCTTTCCTTTCCTAGCCTGCTCCCAGTGCTGCTCCTTACCTCCTTCTTGCCTTCCTCTCAGGAGAAGCCTTTCTCTTTCCTTTCTTTGTTCCTTCCGCCTGTGACGTAGAGGCCCCACCCCTTTAAGCCCCGCCCTCCTTCCTGCTGTCATCCCATAATATCCCCCCCCCCCTTGGTCCCAGGGCGCCTTTTTCTGCTGATCTCGAGAACACAAAGCAATGGTTTCAAACTGCATAAAATCATAAGAGTTGGAAGAGACCACTCCAAGCAAAGCACTCCTGACAGATGGCCATCCAGTCTAACTAATAATAGAGTTGGAAGAGACCACATGGGGCATCTAGTCCGACCCCCTGCCATACAGGAAAAGCACCATCAAAACACTCCTGGCAGATAGCCATCCAGTCTCAATAATCATAACAATAATAGAGTTTGAAGAGACCCCCTGCCATACAGGAAAAGCACCATCAAAGCACCCCTGATAGATGGCCAGTCTCAATAATAATAATAATAATAATAATAATAATAATAATAATAGTTGGGAGATATCCCATTGACCATCTAGTCTAACCCCCTGCCATATAGGGAGAGCATTATCAAAGCACCCCTGACAGATAGCCATCCAGATTCAATAATAATAATAATAATAATAATAATAATAATAATAATAATAATAATAGAGTTGGAAGAGATCCCATTGGCCATCTAGTCTAATCCCCTGCCATACAGGAAAAGCACCATCAAAGCACCCCTGACAGATGGCCATCCAGTCTCAATAAGAATAATAATAGAGTTGGAAGAGACCCCATTGGCCATCCAATCTAACCCCCTGCCATATAGGAAACGCACCATCAAAGCACCCCTGACAGATGGCCATCCAGTCTCAATAATAATAATAATAATAATAATAATAATAATAATAATAGAGTTGGAAGAGATCCCATTGGCCATTTAGTCCAACCCCCTGCCATACAGGAAAAGTGCCATCAAAGCACCCCTGGCAGATGGCCATCCATCCTCAATAATAATAATAATAGAGTTGGAAGAGATCCCATTGCCTATTTAGTCCAACCCCTTGCCATACAGGAAAAGCATCAAACACCCCTGACAGATGGCCATCCAGTTCAATAATAATAATAATAATAATAATAATAGAGTTGGAAGAGATCCCATTGGCCATCTAGTCTAATCCACTGACATACAGAAAAGCACCATCAAAGCACCCCTGACAGATGGCCATCCATCCTCAATAATAATAATAATAATAATAATAATAATAATAATAATAATAGAGTTGGAAGAGATCCCATTGGCCATTTAGTCCAACCCCCTGCCATACAGGAAAAGTGCCATCAAAGCACCCCTGGCAGATGGCCATCCATCCTCAATAATAATAATAATAGAGTTGGAAGAGATCCCATTGCCTATTTAGTCCAACCCCTTGCCATACAGGAAAAGCACAATCAAAACACCCCTGGCAGATCGCCATCCAGTCTCAATAATAATAATAATAATAAAATAATAATAATAATAATAGAGTTGGAAGAGATCCCATTGGCCATCTAGTCTAACCCCCTCCCATACAGTAAAAGCACTATCAAAGCACCCCTGACAGATGGCCATCCAGTCTCAAGAAAAATATAAGAATAATATTTAAACTCTAGTTAAATACGTTTATTCCTGCGAGTCCAGTGGCGTCTCCTTCCCTGGAAGATCTTAAGCAGAGGCAGGATGGCTATCTGTCGGAAGGGATCAGAGTAGTGGGGGGGGGGGCAGAAGAATAGATCCCATTATCCCCAGGCAGGGCTTACCCTCAGCCACCCTCCGATCAATAAAACCTGGCTCTGGAGTCTTCGCCAGTCCATGGATGCCCTTGGGTGGGTCACACTCTCTCAGCCTCCAAGGAAATAGGTCACTCTAAAGTTGGAGATCAGCTCTTAATGGGGACCCAGCCTTGGGGGGACTGGGATTTGCAGGAGAAATGTGACAAATAAATGCAAAAGAGAGAGATAAAAATATTTATTTTATTTTTAAAACATTTTTCCCCTCCAATTCCCCTTGGGAAAATATGAGGCATCCTTTAAGGGTGGGCTCTTCTCTTTTGGAGGGCCTTCAGCAGAGATTTATATATGTACATACATACACATGTATGGCGTATACATATACATATACATACATACATAAATACAAATATATTCCCCTTGATATTTCTCGCTGCATTGCCAAATGGGTGCTAGAAGCCACAAGAGGGCACTCCAGACCGAACCACGAGCATCTTATGGGCACATAACTAAATGTATATTATTCCTTGTTCCATGTGTTTGTGTATATATATCAGGCATGGGAAAACTTGGGCCCTCCAGGTATTTTGGACTTCAACTTCCACTATTCCTAACAGCCTCAGACCCCTTCCTTTTCCTCCTCAGCATAGAGTTTCATCTATGCTGACGATCATGCCATCACCGCCCAAGCTGGGAGCTTTGAAATGGTTGAAAAGAAGCTTAAGAAACCGAGAGGGAAAAGGAAAGGGCCTGAGGCTGTTAGGAATTGTGGGAGTTGGAGTCCAAAATGCCTGGAGGGAAGGCCAAAGTTGGCCCATGCCTGACATATACAAAACTTATGAATTAGACACAACTTACTAATTACTAATAACTGTTTCTATCGTGTATTTGAAATTTACGGTTGAATCTGTAGATCTGGAGACTGCAGATACAGGGGGCCCACTGTATGTAATTCAATTTGGGAAAAGGAAGTAAAAATACATACAGTATACACAACAAGAGAACGCAGGCTTAACTTCTCACTCTAACGTAGCGTTGCCTGAACTGACCTTAAGGTAAACAACTTGTTTAATAGACACCCATGAAATCATTCTACTTAAGCAGCTGAAGGGGGAAAAAGAAAGGGCCCGAGGCTGTTATGAATGATGGGAGTTGAAGTCCAAAATGCCTGGAGGGAAGGCCAAAGTTGGCCCATGCCTGGCATATACAAAACTTATGAATTAGACACAACTTACTAATTACTAATAACTGTTCCTATTGTGTATTTGAAATTGACGGTTGAATCTGTAGAACTGGAGACTGCAGATACAGGGGACTCACTGTATGTAATTCAATTCAGAAAATAGAAGAAAATATATACACAATACACAACAAGAGAACTCGGGCATAGCTTCTCACTCTAAAGTAGTGTTGCCTGAACTGAGTTTAAAGTACACAACTTGTTGTTTAATAGACACCCATGAAATCATTTTCCTTAAGTGGCTGAGGAGAATGATTTCATGGGTGTCTATTAAACAAGGAGAATGATTTCATGGGTGTCTGTTAAACTAACGTAGCATTGCCTGAACTGACCTAAGGTAAAAAATCTTGTTGTTTAATAGACACTCATTAAATCATTCTCCTTAAGTGGCTGAGGAGGAAAAGGAAAGGGCCTGAGGCTATTAGGAATGGTGGGAATTGAAGTCCAAAACACCTGAAGGGAATACTGAAGTTGGCCCATGCCTGATATATATCCATCCTTGCATTCCTGGACTAAATGGGTCCCCATTTTAATTGATCCCGAGCTTCCTTAGAAGGAGATGGGGGCCGAGTTTCTCTTTGGGATGCGTATTCTTCTTTCCTTTCTTCTTCTCTTCTTCCCTCAAATTTTGGGGTAGACAACCACCTTTTTCCCGCACCGCAGCCTTTTGGAGTGGATCTCCCTCCACATGAGCTGCATCTCATAGGGCTGGAAGCGGTGGGTCAGGAGCAGTTCCCGGTAGTAGCAGGGGTCAAAGGAAGCAGAGGGATTACTGGAGGGGACCCTCAGGCTCACAGTCCGCATGCCTGAGTGCGAGGCGGGTGCCAGGCCAGCCCTTTGGAGGCACATGCCCAGGAAGACGTCATCGATGGGGAAGAGCTCTAGAGCTTGCGAGGCTTCGTGGACGGCGTGAGCTGTGTAGCCGGACATCAAGAGCCCCCCTCCACCGCAGTAGGGAGGGTAGTTCTTGGCGGCAGTCACTTGCTCCGGGATGTAGTACTTGCTCCACTTCTCTCGGATGGGGCCCACGTGGGCGATGAGTTGCCCCACAAAGAGGTGGCCCGGAGGGACCCCCGAAAGGTAACGCACCATGTTGTCCGTGTTGGCGAAGACGTCGTCGTCACCGTTGAAGATGAACCTGGCCGTTGGGCAGCGCTCCGCCAGCCAGCTATGGAACAGGACCTGCTTGAGGGTCAGGTTGAAGAAGGTGTCCCAGAAGTCCCACTGTAGGACGTCCCCAAAGTCGGAGGCCTCCAGCTCTAGGAGGCGGTTGAGCTTTGCGGATTCGCGGGTGTCAGGGGCCACGCCAAAGAGGAACACCCTCCGGATGTGGACCCCTTGGAAGGTCCGCTCTTGGCCCCATGTTTGGCGGATGGCAGTCCGGCGCTCGTAGTTCCCTGGCGAGGATTTGATGGCCAGCAGCAGGAAGACCTCCGTCCGGCCACACTTTTGTGGCGTGTCCAACAAAAGGGGGAAGTCCCGGCAGTGTTTGTAGCGCAGGAAATCCTGGATATGAGCTGGAAGGTCAGCAAAGCTGGAAATGTTGACCACTGAGGCGTTTGCACGGCAAGCGGATCGAAGGGCCTGCCTCGTGGTTTCGGGGCCGGGTGTCCAGGTCTCTATGGCTACCTCCTTCTGGACGGTTGGGCCTTTGTCACTTTGAAGGAGGAATAAGAAGCCGGTGAAGCCCACCAAGGTCAGGCCGATGGCTTCCAGCTTGTAGGGCCAGCCTCGGACCATCCTGACCCTGGAAGAGAGAAGCAGAGATTGTGAGCCCATGCCTTCCAGCCTCCCATACACAGGATCACACACCGAGCATCATTTGGGTACTTTTTTTGACCAGAGACTGTATGAGACTCTCACTATTTGCAGTGCCATGCCTTGAGCCCCATAGTTGGGACTGCCATATAAGCTCAGCCCCATTTTTAGTAGCACCCCCGCCCCCCGAAAACTCAAAGCAAGAAGCGCTTTGCTTGTGGGACTCCCAGCCGCAAGAATGCCATTAGCAGCAACACATTGTGTCCCAATGTATTGTCGAAGGCTTTCATGGCCGGGATCACTGGGTTGTTGTAGGTTTTTCCGGGCTATATGGCCATGTTCTGGAGGCAATTTTTCTCCTGACGTTTCGCCTGCATCTATGGCAAGCATCCTCAGAGGTAGTGAGGTCTGTTGGAAGTAGGAAAAATGGGTCCCGTTGCTGATTTTGGTTTTGTCCTGAAAGAGACATGGAGACATTGCAAACAAGACCTGAGAAACCTCTAGCCACAAGGTCACAGTGAGCAACTATGTGTTGAGCTCTGTTTGTAAACAAAGCTGCTCTATGTCCACGCAGACAACCCCTAAAACGGACAGTTTCATCTATGCTGATGATCATGCCATCACCGCCCAAGCTGGGAGCTTTGAAATGGTTGAACAGAAGATCTCTGAAGCTTTAGGTGCTTTTACTGCCTATTACAAGGAAAACCAGCTGATTCCTAATCCATCTAATATGCAGACAACCCCTAAAACTGCCAGAAGGGACAGAGAGTTTCATCTATGCTGACGATCATGCCATCACCGCCCAAGCTGGGAACTTTGAAATGGTTGAACAGAAGCTTTAGGTGCTCTTACTGCCTATTCAATGGAAAACCAGCTGATTCTTCATCCATCTATGTGCATTTCACCTTGAGAACAGACAAGCATCTTGAGCTCTGAGGCTTACCTGAGAATAATAATAATAATAATAATAATAATAATAATAATAATAATAATCTTTATTTATAACCCGCCACCATCTCCCCAAAGGGGACTTGGGGTGGCTAACATGAGGCCAAGCCCAAAATAATACAACATGGTTAAACACAAAATAACCAAAAAAAACCCCCACCATAACAAAATATATAAAATAGCAAATAAAATAAGCAATATAAAATAGTAAATAATAATAAAATTGAATCCCACTGGAGCACTGCAGCACACCCAAATACCCGAGAGTCACTCTGGACCATGCTCTGATTTATAAGACGCACTGCTTGACTATCAAACAAAAATGGGTGCTAGAAATAATATCATACGAAAGCTGATTGGCACAACCTGGGGATCACAACCAGACACTGTAAAGACATCTCCACTTGCACTTGGCTACTCTGCTGCTGACTATGCAGGCCCAATATGGAATACATCTCACTATGTTAAAACAGTGGATGTGGCTCTTAATGAGACATGTCGCATTATCATGGGATGCCTACACCCTACACAGCTGGAGAAATTACACTGTTTAGCCAGTATTGCACCACTTGACATCCACCGGGAAGTAGCAGTTAGTAATGAAAGGACCAAGGCAGTGACATTTCCAGCCCATCCTCTGTTTGGATATCAGTCACCATGCCAATGCCTTAAAGCAAGAAACAGCTTCTTAAGATCTACAGAGATACTGGCAGGAACACCTCAGCAAGCAAGAGTCCAAAAGTGGCAGGTTGGAACTTGGAACCTCAATCAGTGGCTGAGACCGGATGAGAAACTCCTTCCTGGGCACACAGAGGATGGGGTGACTTGAATGGGTTTTTAAAAAATATATTATAACTGTATTCACAATTCACTGCTGACACGATAAAGAAATAACTTCGATGCGTGAACAACTTACAGTATTGAAATATAATTTTGTGCCATAATTTAGGAGCCATCACCAAAAATATCTCCCATATTTTTGTTGAAACCCCAAAATAGCATTGAGAATAATACCCAGAAGGACTAAAATATTTATTTACGTCATTTATATGCCGCCCTTCTCATCCGAAGAGGGCTCAGAGCAGCTTGCAAGATATAGATACATGCAATATATTATATTATTAGCATAGTACAATATCAATATTATATATTATTATATTGTACTACACCATGCTGCAATATTATTAGTAATATTTATTTATTTACGCCATTTATATGCCACCCTTCTCACCCCAAAGGGGACTCAGAGCGGCTTACTATATATATATATATATATATATATATATATATATATATATATATATATATGATTTTGTCATTTGGGAGTTGTAGTTGCTGGGATTTATAGTTCACCTACAATCAAAGAGCATTCTGAACGCAATCAACGATGGAATTGAACCAAACATGGCACACAAAACTCCCATGAGCAATAGAAAATACTGGAAGTGTTTGGTGGGCATTGACCTTGAGTTTGAGAGTTGTAGTTCACCTGCATCCCGAGAGCACTGTGGATTCAAACAATGATGGACCTGGAGCAAACTTGGCACAAGCACTCAATACGACCAAATATGAACACAGATGGAGTTTGGGGGAAATTGACCTTGACATTTGGGAGTTGTAGTTACCGGGATTTATAGTCCACCTACAATCAAAGAGCATTCTGAACCCCACCAACGATTATCCTGGATGGTCTGGCATTGGACCTCCCCCGAGGTCCAGGAAGAGAGGGCATTCATTTATTGTCCATGCAAATGGGTGTGGTGATACCTTTTGTTAGGGGATTAGCATGAGGGGATTTCCTGAGCCAGGTGAATTGCTGGATTTTGAAAACAGTGGCTTTTCCTTCGTCTATATAAATAAAAATGTAATGTTCGTTTGTGGGATTAACAGAACTCAAAAACCACTGAACGAATTGTCACCAAATTTGGACACAAGACACCAAACAACCTAATGTATGTCCTTCGTTCAAAAAAATGATTTTGTCATTTGGGAATTGTAGTTGCTGGGATTTATAGTTCACCTACAATCAAAGAGCATTCTGAACCCCATCAACGATGGAATTGAACCAAACTTGGCACACAGTTCACCCATGACCAACAGGAAATACTGGAAGCGTTTGATGGGCAGTGTCCTTTGGTTTTGGAGTTGTAGTTCGCCTGCATCCAGAGATCACTGTGGACTCAAACAATAATGGATCTGGACCAAACTCTACACAAATAATTAATATACCCAAATGTGAACACTGGTGGAGTTTGGGGAAAATAGAATCTTGACATTTGGAAGTTGTAGTAGCTGGGATTTATAGTTCACCTGCAATCAAAGAGCATTCTGAACCCCACCAAGGATGGAACTGAACCAAACGTGGCAGACACTTCTCCCATGACCAACAGAAAATACTGGAAGGGTTTGGTGGACAGTGTACTTTGGTTTTGGAGTTGTAGTTCACCTACATCCAGAGAGCACCGTGGACACAAACAATGATGGATCTGGACCAAACTCTACACGAATACTCAATATGCCCAGATGTGAACACTGATGGACTTTGGGGAAAATAGAATCTTGACATTTGGGAGTTGTAGTTACTGGGATTTATAGTTCACCTACAATCACAGAGCATTCTAAACCCCATCAATGATAGAATTGGGCCAAACCTCCCACCCAGAACCCCCATGTGGGCCACAGCAATGCGTAGCAGGGGACGGCTAGTATATTATATTAGGTAAAGGTAAAGGTTTTCCCCTGACATTTAGTCCAGTCGTACCTGACTCTGCGGTGTAGTGCTCACCTCCATTTCTAAGCCGAAGAGCTGGCGCTGTCCGTAGACACCTCCAAGGTCATGTGGCCAGCATGACTGCATGGAGCACCATTATATTATATTATATTATATTATATTATATTATATTATATTATATTAAGCACAGCACAGCACAGGAAACAAGGTGGAACTGTTCCTGTGACTTATTCAAGATGAGATGTCTCTGGGCAAAGGAGGGGCAAGACGCCTTCTTCCACGATGGCACCCCAGCTGCCAATGCGGAAATTATCTGCAGATGGAAATTTCTTAAGAAAAGAATCAAGAGTTTTCTTTGGCCAAAGCAAGAGTGAGAAAGAGATTAACGCAAAGGTCTGGACAGCACTGTCTTTGGGGATTTGCCTCTTGAGTACACTCCAAGGCATGTTTATTTTTCTTTCTGTTACGGAAAAGGTTGTTCTGGCCCCTAAAACAAAAGTAAAGCCAGGCAGGATTCAAACCCGGGCTCCAATGCTCATTAGTTTTAAATTCGGGATTTAAAATAATTAGTTTTAAGGGGGAATGTGACAAAGGATGCAGGTGATGCCATAAAATAGCAAGTGTCATCTACACTCCAGAATTCATCTAGTTTGACACCACTTTAACTGCCAAGCTTGAAGGCTCTGGAATCCGGGCAAGGTGAAAGACCTTGTAAAACTACAACTCCCAGTGGTAGTTAAAAGTGGTGCCAAACTGCATTCATCCTACAGTACGGATGCACTCAATATTTCACCAAACGACAACTTTGCTTCAGTTCCATTGCATGTGTACTGTAATCCGATAGGGCAGAATATAAATAAAGTATATTATTATTATTATTATTATTATTATTATTATTATTATTATTAGCTGTACCCGCCATGCATTGCTGTGGCCAGTCTTCCTTCCCTTTTTCTCTCCTCCTTTCTTTCTCTCCTTCCTTTCTTCCCTTTTTTTCTTTCCTTCTCTCCTTACTTCCCTTCTGCCTTTTCTTTCCCTTCCCCTTTCTCCCCTTTCTCCTTTCTCTACCTATTCTTGGACTGCAACTCCCAGCAGTCCTCCTGATCTATCTATCTATCTACCTATCTCTATCTAATCTATTTATCTTATATCTCGGGAGGATTGCTGGAAGTTGCAGTCCAGGAATAGGAAATTGGAAATACGCAGGGATTGAGATGCTCTCAAAGAAATCCAAGGAAAAGAAAGCTTCCATCTTGGAAGCAGAGGATTTGGATCATCCTCCTCTCCTAAAGGGCTTGGTCTAGGGGATG